ACCGGACGTTGCGAATCTACAAAAGCCTGCGATTGTAACCAGGTAACAAGCCCCAATGTCAATCTTGCTTGGCTCAACTATTGACGGTGATCTCGATTCGCAGTGGGCGCATATCAAAGATGCTTTAGTTTCCGTCAGTATCGACACTTGTGGAGTTGCCCGTCACCCACCGAAGCATTGGATTTCCACCGAATCCTTGTCGCTGATAGACAAACACCGCTTGCTCCCATCGGATTCCAGACACAGTAAAGAACACCAATCCCTGGGTCGAGAGTTGCGCAGTAGTCTGCAAATGGACCGCGAATCTTGGTGGTGTGAACGCGCTAGGGAGGTGGAGCTTGCTAGTCTCTCTGGTAATACCAGAAAACTCCTCAATCTCATTCGAGTCACCGAAGGTGTTCGATCTGGTATAAGTGAAGCAATATGCGAAGAGGATGGCACCTTTTTCACCAATCTTCAACGATGGTTGCGGCGATGGGCCGAACATTTTGGTTCGCAGTTTTGTTGGTCCCCAGCTCCATCTGCTACCTCTGGCTCTCGTGCTGGGGACGAGTGATCTACTTCCACAGATCCTCCCTCTTCCCAGGAAATCGACCAGGAGCTCCGGCACATGAAGCGTTATAAACCCATGGCCTTGGTGGTTTTCCTTTAGCTCTATTTAAAGATGGTGGCGCATCGCTGGTCCGAGAACTCACCGCTTTGTTCTCGAAAATTTGGTCGAAAGAGAAAGTTCCGTCATCTTGGGTGAATCGATAGTCGTCCCCATCTTCAAAAAGGGCCTGCGCACAATCTGCTCCAACTACAGAGGAATAAGTTTAGTCCCCGTCGTTTGCAAGCTGCTGGTGTCCAACATACTTCGCAGGCTATCCCCAACGCGCAAATCGTTGCAACGAGAATAACAAGCTGGATCACGCTCTGGTCGCGGCTGCATCGATCAAAGCTTCACACTCCGCCAGATCCTCGAGCTCCGCCATGTGTATCAGAGGTCAACGATTGCTGTGTTCCTGGATATCCGTGCAGCCTTCGATTCTGTCGATCGTACAGTACTGTGGCACTGCCTACTGAGGAATGGTGTCCCCGAGAAATTCATCTCTATACTGCGCACTCTCTATATCTGACCTGATTAGTGTTAGGGCTTACGGCAAGCTTTCGCCTATCTTTGTGGCCTCCCGTGGAATTCGACAAGGATGCCCTATCTCTCCGTCCCTATTCAACTTTGCCATTGAGGATGTCCTGAAGAACGTTCTAGCCGATTCGTTGAAACCTGGCGTTGAGCTCCTCCCAGGTAGTCGAGTTGTTGATTTGGATTATGCTGATGATATCGTCTTGCTGGGTGACGATCCACCCGTCGTCCAACTTGCACTAAACCACTTGGCTATTGAAGCATCAAGTATGGCATGTACTTTTCGCCATCCAAATGCAAGGCTCTCTTCCAAGACTGGCAGGTGCCTCTGCCTGCACTCACTCTTGCTGGTGAGACACTAGATTTTGTGGAGAGCTTGGTCTACTTGGGAAGTTGCATCACTGCTGGTGTGGTTGTTGGA